ATGCCTTATATTTCACTCAGAAGGAAACCTGTAAGTAAGTCTTATTTTCGGAGGATGTCTTATTTTCGGGAAAACACGGTAGCTGTGTGCCCTTGGGCAAGTTACTTAACCTCTCAGTGGCTCAATTGCCTAATCTGTAAAATGGGAAAAATAACAGTATCTTCCTCATAGGGTTGTTATAAGGATAAAATGAGTCAAAATATGTAAAGCACCAAAAAAAAAAGTACCAACAGTACCTGAATCTGAAAAACACTGTGTAAGCGTTTGTTGCCGTTCACAATTGTTTCTTGTGATCATTTCATCTGTGACTTTCTCCTCCCTGAAGCTATCAGCTCCGTGAGGATGGGGGTTAGACTTCAGCGACGGCAGCTCAGAGGCTTCTGTGCCCACAACCCAAGTCCCTCTCTGCCCGCAGCCTTTGTTCTGCTTCCCCGTGTCTGGCTGGGTGCTGCCTGAGCGAGGGAGGACAGGGGCATGCCCTCGGCAGGAAATGCTGTCAGCGTCAGAGAGCCAGCCCTGAGGAAAGCGGCTGGCGGCAGCCAGACGTTGTCCCCGTGGAGGGTTGGGTAAGGGCTGTACCCTCCGGAGCCCCGAGTTCCCTGGGGGGAAGCTAAAGCTTCCTTTGTCCAGAAGGTCAGGAGCAGCCGGCCAGCTGTGGGGGAGTTCCGCTGCGCAGCCCCAGCCAGCAGCCCAGATGTGCGTGTTTGCACAGCCGCGCCCGGGCTCTGAGGCAGCCTTGTTGGGCATCATGAAAGGGGGTTTGTGATGGGACGGGCGGCCTCCGCACCCCGGCTGTTTGCCTCCAGGACAGCAACCAGGAATGCAGCCCGCAGGAAGCCCTTCCTCCCGGGCCTGCCAAGTGCCCTCCTCCTGCCTGAGGAGTCAGGGCCCCTGGCACGAGCAGGTGGAACTTGCCAACTGCAGGCTCGAGTCTGGGTCTGCTCCTTCCTCGGTGTCCTGTTCTGTAAGATGGGGAGAGGCCCCCATGTCTCCCTCTCCTCAGGGAAGGCAGTGTGGATGGTGGGAAGTTCACGGTATACGGGCAGAACACAGCATGACTGCGAGCTCCAGACTCAGAAAGACCAGGAAAGAATGTCCACCTCTGAGAACCTCCGTCCATGGGCTTGTTCCCGGGATGAAAGGACATAATGAGGAGGAAGGGCCAAGCCGGCGCGGACACACACTAGGAGCTCAGTAACTCTGTGTCCTCTCCTTTGGGCCACCGGGCTCCAAAATGGGGGGCCTGAGGTCGCCTGCGTTGAGAGCAGGGGGTCCCCTGCCACTGTCCCAGAGGAAGAGCTGCTGCCAGAGACCCTCTCACAGGCGTGGCACCATGCAGCTGGGCAGCACTATGCCAGGCATGACTCTCCTTCCTGCAGAAGAGTCTCTGCCTCCCCCCCCCACCCCCGAGTCCCTGGGCAGGGCTGGTCCCTGGGCACAGTGGGTCTTAGATCTCCAGATACAGTTCATCCTTGGGCCTCGTCCAGCCCCGGGCAGGGCAGTCCCTGGGCTCAGCTGGTTGGCCAGGTACAGCTGTCCTTGGACATCACTGGTCACTAGCAATGCCAGTCTCTGAACACAGCTGCTCCCCAAAACAGTCTCTGAGCACAGTCCAGCTACGTACAGTCCGCCTCTGAGCATAGACGTTGTCTGGCATAATCGATCCCTGGGGTGCATGCCCCGGGGGCCAGTGAGCCCTTGGGTGGTCAAAGTAAGCAAAGTCCATCCTGGGGTTCAGATGAGCCCCAGGCCAGACACAAAGGGTTTCTGAGGACAGTGTTCCTGGGCATCATCAGCCCCTGGGCACAGTCACTCCCAGGACAGCTGGTTCCTGGGCACACGGGGTCCGAGGCATGGTCGGCAGTCAGTGGGCACAGTTGTTTCCAGGCGCAGTTGGTCCCCTGAGCACCTGAGGTCAGTCTTTGACTTCAGGACAGAGTGGACCCCTGACATAGTTCATTCAGAGCCTCCCCCATTGATTAACATGCATAACCCATCACCCCCTTCTCTGCGGCCCCATCTCTCTTCACATGACCTGGAGAACCCGAACCCACAGAAAGGATAGGAAGTGTGCTCTGGGGTCTAGAGAGCCCCGGCCTGACCTGCTCATGGCAGGTGGAGTGGCAGGGCAGAGCTGTGGGGAGAGAACTGGAGGACTGTGCTCAGGAGCAGAGCCTGACCCCATGCTGGTGTGGGCTGGTGCAAAGCACGGCAGAGCAGCCCTGGCCGGGAGGCAAAGACCCTCCTTCTCTCTACCCTGCTCCATTTCTGTGCACAGAATGGATCCTATGGCTGCAGGAGGAGCGGGGCTGGCCTGCTGCAAGTCTCCACGGGACCATGAGGAAGTGTGTTCGCCAAGTTCCTCCTCATTCCAAGGAGGTGGCCTTCCCTGTTTTCTCACCAACATGCTCACAGCCTGAGGCACAGCACTCACAGGGAAGGGGAGGCGCCTGTGCCAGGGACCGTCAGCCCAAGAGACAGTTGGTGCTAGATTTCTGCCTCTTGGGTCTGACCAGTCCCAAGGCTCTATCATCTCCCAGCCTAGCTAGGAGCAGAGCAGCAAGCCCAAGGCAGGGATCCGGCCGCATGGAGGTCCGGTCCCCAGGCCTGTTTAGTTCTCGCTTCCTGAAGGGGCATGATTCCTATAGGATGATGATGCGAGGTGGCATCCCATTAGCCAGCAGCACCTGTCCTTTCTGCCCACCTTCCTCCCCAGCCCCCACGCACATCAATGTTTAATTGAATTGCCAGTGTAGTGGTGCAAGTCACATCTGTTTCAGGGTCTGAGCAGGAAGTGAGCAGCACGCTCCAGTCACCCAGGATAGGGTGAGCCTGTAATTCATCCACACGTGAGCCCTGCCATCCCAGACAAGCCCCTACACTCAAGGACATTTGGAGCCCCTGGGTTTGCACCTTCAGAAAAATCGAAAGAAAAGTCTAGGACAGAAAAGGGTGAGGAGAGCATGCAGGAAAGGGATTCCACAGAGATGGAGTGGGAAGAGAATCTGAAGAGTTGGCCAAGCCAGAACCCAGCAGCCGAGAGGTCTTCCAGCTGCAGGCATCCAAGGGTCCAAGAGCCAGCCCCTGGAAGGTTAATCATTAACTTACACTTTTTTGCTCACTAATATCCCAACCAAAACCATCCAATCAAAGAGCCCAAGAGAATAATGGCCACAGGAAGTCAAAACTCTAAGGCTGGACGGGACTTCAAGCTGAAGAGACCAATGGGCTTAAACTAAGTCAATCCAGTTCAGGCCGATTCCAGATGTCTGCCACTAGATCTCACTGATTCAAGCCAGCTCAAATCAAGCCAGGCCTGTCAGGACCAGCTCAGATGTGTGGAGCTGGCCAAGACTGGATGAAGCTGAATCAAACTGGTTGTGACCTGCTCAAATCACAAGGAGCCATTGGAGGGCCAGCGACTCAATGCCTGCCTATTTTGCACTAGCCTTTGCCTAATATATCTTTATGGAGTCCTTCCTTTAAAACTTCCTGGATCCTGGGGAAACCAAGATGGAGGCATAGGTAAACACCTAAATTGCTGCCTTGCACAACAACTTCAAAACTACAACTAAAAGACAAAATGGACATCATTCAGAACCACACAAAGGCTGGCTGAGTAGAAATTCTACAACTAGAAGAAAAGAGAAAAGCACACTAAGACTCAGAGGAGCTGCAGAAGGCAGAGGTACAGAGGCGTGCACGCAGAGAGGGCTGGCTACTGAGTACATGGCTGGCTTTCTCAATCAGGAGGGAGACAAAAGCTCCTGACTGCTATGAACTCCAGTTCTGGGTGAGACTCTGGGGACCTAGACTTATTTGGTAGAAACTGGACTGTCTGGCAACAGGCAAATTCAAGGGCAGCTTTCTCTCAGAGGTGCTTGCAGTGATTACCACGAGACACTGAAACCGAGGGATCTCTTAGGGCAGGGCTGATGGGAAACCATTGCTGTCTGCTTCATCCTGAGACTCCGCCCTATCCAAGCTGAGGCTTTTGCAAGTCTTGTCTCATAAGGGTGTCTCCAGCACAGAAGTTCTCCCAGTGTAGACACAGCTGATCCTCACAGTCAATTGGCCAGAGGTCAATTCCTCCCAGTTCTACCAACAACAATCAAGGCTTAACTACAACTGTGTACACAGCCCACAAGGGGGTGCATCAAGAATATCCACCTCAGGTAACTGGGGAGATTGAGCCACTTTGCCCTATAGGACACAAAGCCACTCTATCAACTCAGGGAAGCAGCCAAAATGTGGAGACAAAGAAACAGGTTACAAATTACAGAATTGAGATAAACAAATGACTAGATATAGAGTTCAAAATCATGGTTATAAGGTTTTTCAAGAATTTTCTAGAAAAGGCCAACAAATTTAGTGAGATCCTTGGGGATATGAAAAAGGATCAACTAGAAATTAAGCATACACTTACTGAAATAAAAAATAATATACAGAAATCCAACAGCAGACTAGAGGATCACAGAATCAAGTCAAAGATTTGAAATACAAAGAAGCAAAAAAAACACCCAACCAGAAAAGCAAGAAAAAGAATCCAAAAATATGAAGATAGCATAAGGAGCCTCTGGGACAACTTTAAGTGTACCAACATCCAAATTATGGGGGTCCCAGAAGTAGAGAGATAGCAAGATATTGAAAACCTATTTGAAGAAATAATTACAGAAAACTTCCCCCACCTGGTGAAAGAAACAAACTTACAAGTCCAGGAAGCACACAGAACCCAAAGAGGACCACACCAAGACATATTATAATTAAAATGCCGAGGGCAAAAGACAAAGAGTGAATATTAAAAGCAGCAAGAGAAAAAGTTAGTTACTTACAAGGGAGGACCCATACGATTGTCAGCTGATTTTTCAACAGAAATTATGCAGAACAGACGGGAATGACAAGAAATATTCAAAGTGATGAAGAGCAAGAACCTATAACCAAGATTACTCTACCCAGCAAAGCTATCATTCAGAATTGAAGGTCAGATAAAGAGTTTCACAGAGAAGAAAAAGCTAAAGGAGTTCATCATTGCCAAACCAGTATTATATAAAATGCTGAAAGGTGCCGAAACCTGTTTGGCTCAATGGATGGAGCGTCGGCCTGCGGACTGAAGGGTCCCAGGTTCGATTCTGGTCAAGAGTATGTGCCTTGGTTGTAGGCACATCCCCAGTTGGGGGTGTGCAGGAGGCAGCTGATCGTGTTTCTAACTCTCTATCCCTCTCTCTTCCTCTCTGTAAAAAATCAATAAAATACATTTTTTAAACATGCAGAAAGGTATTCTTTAAGAAGAGGAAGAAGAAGAAAAAGGTAAAGATAATAATTATGAACAACAGATACATATCATCAACAGGTAAATCTAAAAATCAAATGAATAAAAAATCTGATGAACAGAATTAACTGGTGAATATAATAGAATCAGGGGCATAGAAAGGGTGTGGACTGACAATTCTCAGGGGGTAGAGGGGGTATGAGGGTGCGAGAAGAGACTGGACAAAAATTGTAGACCTATAGATGAGGACAGTGGGGGAGGGGGATAAGGACAGAGGGTGAGGTGGGAACCGGGTGGAGGGGATCTATGGGAGGAAAAAAAGGAACAACTGTAATAATCTGAACAATAATGATTTATTTTAAAAAATAAGTAAATAAATAAATAAATAAAACTTCCTGAGTCCTTTTGTTTCCAGTATGTATTTTGTAAACAGCTTTTGATCCAAGCATCACATTATAGTGGCAGGATATATCATACCTATATCTCCCCAGATACAGAGGTGATTACATGGCTAAGTGCCAGGGTGGTCTGCAGCCTGGGCTCAGGTGCCCACACTGCAGTGTCCTCGCTGTGTGATCTTGAGTAAGTTATCTACTTATACTTACCCTCAACCTCATACGTAAAAAACATCCAGTTCATTATGGAACTTGCCTCATGGGGACAATTTTGCAGACTGAGATTACATACATATTAGCACAGTGCCTGGCATGTGCTAACCACTCGGTTCATGGAAGTTATCCTCAGTTTTTATTATTCCTTGGCTCTGACCTCAGATGACCAAGACTCAGGCTCCTGCATGGCCACTTCCCCAGTGTGGAAACTTGGGTAATTCACTTAACTTCTCTTCAGCCAGGGTAGGGAGAAGTTTACTTCTGCACAAATCCAGCAACCCTTCGGGACAGCTTTCTTTCCATTGGTGACTCAGGTCCAAGGTTGCTTGTGTCTTACAGCAATGCATCGCTTCCAGGTTACCATAGCAAGAAAAAAAGGAGCTGGAATGACACTCACCAGCTCTTACATGTCTCACTCCAGAGTGTCACATAGAACTCCAGCACACAGACCCCTGGCTGGATCTAGCACATAGCCCCATAAGGCTGCTGGGAAGTATGAGGAAATGTGTCTGCCATCAAATGAAGCTATTCATCCCAGTCAAGCTACATCATTAAAAGTCTGATATCCGACCTGAAGAAGGTGATGTTTCTGTTCAGTTCTACCATTTGTGAGCCATGTCTGAAGTGCTCTAAGTGTTGTATTTTCAAATACTCCCAACTATATTGGTCACCCCCCCTCCCCCAATGAAAGAGGAGACCGAGTTGAAGAAGGAACTTAAAATCCAGTCTTATAAGGAGGAGTTGGAAAGATGTTTGATTTAGAAGAGAAGCGGCATCATATATCTAATTACAGACTCTGGAAGGGCTGTTGTGGGACAAGAAGAATAAAACTGCTCTGTGGGACTCCGTGGGGCAGAGCCTGGACAGTGGACAAGGCCACAGGCACGTCCAAGGGTAAAAGTCAGAGCTGAGCACTTTTTAAAAGACTGCCTCAGGACAGACTGGATTTCCTGTAGAAAGAATATGCACACAGAATCCAGAAAGCCACTGGCTTAGATGTTGTGGAAGATTTCAGGTATCTGAAGGCGTTGAAACAGGCATCTAATAGTAGTCCTTACAAGGCAGAGTTCAAATGCCAGGGGTAGGGAACACAGCTCATTCAGACTCTAAACTTGGTACCAGGAAGGACCTCAACCCTCAAGACCCACAATAGTCAGGGTAGGCTAGGCTTTGCTACAGGAACAGCAGCAGAAACAAAACACTAAAGCTCCACAGTTTAACAAGTACAGGGGCAGGATGGACTGTTCAGACCTGTTTTCTCTGGACTCAGGCTCCTCCCAGCACTGCTCGTGTGGTAAGAAACTCTGCCGTCTGGGTGCCTCCCACTCTCAGGGACACTTATGAAGGACACCCAACATGAAAACAAATAAAAAGGAAATCACCCCATCAGAGCTATAAGTAATAATCAATAATTCAAAGCCTTGATAAAGTCTTGCTGGAGAGCGCTTCAGAGAGAAGGCACGGGCTGTTTCATGGTTAATTCAATGTCAATTAGCTGATTGCTAACTTCCCTCCAGCGAAATCGCATGCAGTGCAGGGGAGAGAAATCAAACGTGCTCTCGTTTTAACAAGCCTGGTGTTTCAATCATTCATCTCTGGCCGCAGGCTCAGAACCAATGCCAACAGACGTTCCTTCACAGTTTTATCAACCATTTCTGCATGTCACTGTTTTCTCAGCTGCCCTTAATTGTCCCAGGACCATCTCTGGCAACAGGGCTACTTGAAACCCAAAGTCAGAAGAGAAACTTTCTACTTCCTGGAAGATGTGGAACCCACAGCTCCTAAAACTCAGTTTCCCCATAATAATCTCTTCCTCTGGGATCAGTCACTGTGACAATGCATGTAAAGGGGACAGCAGAGAACTTGGTACATGGTACATGTTCAATCAGGGTAGTTTTCCTCTGCCATTGCAAATCCTGAAATGGGTTTGTTGCTCACCTCCAGGGCTCCAAGCCCCTATACTAGCAGAGGCCATGGACACCTTCAGCACCATGGCCAGAGTCTCTGCACAGAGGTTGGAGATGGGAGGGCAAGAGCAAGAGGAGAAGATGCTGCATGGCTCACAGCTAGAGGGCCAGTGGGAAAATCCGTGTGAAGGGATCCTAGGGACCACGGAGGCCCCCTGCATCCCTTTGCACAAGAGGAAACGGGCCCAGAGAGGGCCTGGGACTTGCCCAGAACCACAAAGATGCCAGGTTTCTGTGCTCAGCATCTCCCCACCTTAGGCTGTCCTACAGATGCAAAGGTGAGGATTCTGGGTCCCCTTTTCCTTCCTGGGGACCCCTGGGGGGGAGGGTCACAAGAAGAGAGATACTGATGTACAGGAAAACCAGGAAGGGGCTGCTGCGAGGGAGAGGTGCTATAGGAGATGTGGGTTCAGCCCTAGTCAACATTCCCGGAAGGTGCCCTTTGCCTATGCCTTTTCCCCACAGGCCAGGGCAGAAGATCTGGGAGCCGAGCCCACCAAGCCAACCTATGGCCCCTCCCAGTTAGGATGTGTAGAGTGTTGGTTTTTAATGACTTTAGTCAGTCATTCACATGCCTAGCACCATGCACGGCACTGGGAGGGGAGAGAAGACTCCTCAAGCACCCAGCACCTTCTCCTGGCAGGCAGACCTATGCCTCTCACAGTGTGTAGCGTGCTGTGCTGGGTACTTTTAGGTGTCAACTTGACTGGGCTAGGGATGCCTAGATAGCAGATAAAACATTATTTTTTAATATATATTTTATTGATTTTTTTACAGAGAGGAAGGGAGAGGGAGATAGAGAGCTAGAAACGTCGATGAGAGAGAGAAACATCGACCAGCTGCCTCCTGCACACCCCCACCGGGAATGTGCTCACAACCAACGTACATGCCCCTGACCAGAATCGAACCCGGGACCTCTCAGTCCGCAGACCGACGCTCTACCACTGAGCCAAACCAGCTTCGGCACATTATTTCTAGGTATGTCTCCAAGGGCATTTCCAGAGAGATTAGCATTTGAATTGGCAGACAGGATAAAAAGGCTCACCCGCACCAATGCAGGTGGGCATCACCCAATCCACTGAGGGCCTGAATAAAAGGAAAAGGCAGAGGAGGGGTGAATTTGCTCCCGGCTTGAGCCCAGGCATCCATCTTCTCCTACCTCAGACACCACTGTTCCTGCAGACTTGCACTGGGAGATGCACCACAGGCTCCCTGGTTCTCAGCCCTCCGAACTGGGACCAGGACTTACACCACAGGCTCCAAACTTGGGACTGTGACTTGCTTACACCACAAATCCACTGCTTGCAGACAGTAGATCATGGGACTTCTCAGCCTCCATAATCACACGAGCCAATCCCTCACAATAAACTTGTCTCCACGTATCTATATATATCCCATTGTTTTACTTTTCTGGAGAACCCTGACTAATACACATGCCCATACCTGGTAGACTGTGCCCAGGTGTGAGTGACTACAGGCATTTTGTCCTGTGAAAGACTGGGAATGTTCCCTCCGTGACCCACGGGTCCTCTGGAGCCCTCTCCTTTCCCTGGGGGTTGGGAGAGCCACTCTCTCGTCTCCTCTGTCACAGGCCACAGCTGGGATTTGCCAGGTATGCCCCAGGCCAGGGCAGAAGATCTGGGAGCCGAGCCCACCAAGCCGACCTGTGGCCCCTCCCAGTTAGGATGTGTAGAGTGTTTGTTTTTAAAAGAAGAGGGAAGAACCACAGCTTCTGTGCTCTGTCAGGCAGGGTAGCATAATCCTGAAAGCTACCAAGCCAGAGGTTTAAGTTCTGGCTCTACCACGTCCTGGCTGTGGGATACTGTGATACCTGTCTCACCTCTCAGACCCATTTCTTCATTTAGAAGGTGAGTACGATGCCAGTCCCAAACTTACAAGTTGTTGAAGGGATCAAATGAGAGAATTTGCGCAAAGGGCTCAGCACGGTGCCCAGCACAGAATACATGTTTCATGAAGAAGCCGTTTCATAAATGTTCCCCTAGAAAAGTTTCCTTAGGGAAAATTTCCAAGCTCAAGGGCACTCTAGGAGTCTGTCCACAACAGAATAAGTGTGCAAAAAAAAAAAAAAAGCTTAGGCTGGGCCCCTCCAACCTCCTGGCCCAGGTATAGGGCTCCGTCTGAGGCCACTCAGGGGCAGCCTGGGGCCGGGCCGGGGCTCCTTGTGGGGTCAGAGTTCAAGCTCAGTCTAGATTGACTGAGAACCCAGCCTTGGGAAAGTCCTTCCCTATCAGTCTCAGTTTCCTCACCTATAAAGTGGAGCACGGGTCCCCGCCCAGCGTGCCTCCCGGAGGACTTGGGAGGGTGCCATCCTGTCGTGCGTGTGAAGACTTGTGTCTGCCTCGGAGATGAGCTTCGCTCCTCGAAGTTCCTTGTGTTGTCCCGGACGTCAGGCCTGAGGCGGGGAGAGTCTGCCCTTGTTTGTATATGCCCATGGCCGCGGCCATTCCCTGGGGTCAGAGCACTCAGACAGGGGACCGGTGGGGAGAGGCAGACCCCCAAGGCTCTGCTGCTCCAGAGGCTCGGAATTCACTGCGCACATATTTGCTGACTTCCCTGCATTCTGCCAGCTTCAGGCATTCACTTCCCAGAAGTTTATTTGAGGAGACGCCGAGGAGCCGGATCTGGGTCCAGCAGACCTGCCCAGACAGACAGGCTGAGCCCTTTCTCACTGCCTCTCTCACACGCTCCACCTCTCACAGTCCTCCCTGTCTGCCTCTCCGTGGCCACCTGCTCCTCCGTCTCTTTTCTCCCTCTGCTTTTTATTCTCTGCTTGATCCCCTGCTCCAGATTCAGTGCCCACCCTTCTCAGCCCTGCTGGGTGCCCTGGGAGGCTGACCCCAGAGGACCCCACAGCCTGAACGGGCCGAGTTCAGCTGGCGGGAGGCCCTGGCGGAGATTACAGGGAGGGAGGCGGGGTGGGAGGTCAGGGATTCCTTCTCCACGCCCTCTCTCCTAGGCAACATTTTCCGCCGGGGCTGTGTTTCTCCATGACTCATCCTGCACCGGCATTCCGTCCTCCCCAACCAGCCCTCACTGGCCTGCAATAACACCCCCTCCTCCCATCGCCCATCAGCCCTAGAGGTGGTAAGGACTTCCCAAGATTGCCAGCCTCTCTTATTGCTTGCTACACTCCACCCATGTCTTGTAAGTAACAGATCCATTTCAGTCCCTGCAGGTAAACTATGTGAGGTGAGTTCTGTTTCCTGCAGAGACCCTACTCCCTAACTCCTCCATCCCACCCACACTCTCTTAGACATCCTCAACATCTCTCACTCTCACCGTCTCTCCCTCGCTGGTTCTTCTGAACTCAGGTGGGAAACATTGAGATTGCTTCTATCATACCCCTTCATGGAGATCACCCAGGATGCTGAGGGTGGGAGGAGGGGGCCCCTACTGTTCATACACACACACTCACACATACACACATGCACGCACGCACGCACATGCACACGCACACGCACACGCACACGCACACGCACACGCACACACCAGAATCAAGAGCCCTCGCATCTCCCTCACAGGTCACAGGTTGGGCAGAACCAGGGACAGCTTGGAACTGAGTCAGAAGAGCTAGGTTATAGCACCCCCTTTGCCACAAACCAGCTAAAGCAATAAGTAACCTCCATTTCCTCCTGCACGACTGACAGAAATGCTAGAGGGTCTGGTGGGCAGTGGATGTGGATGTGGATGTGGTTTGTAAACTGAAACCAGGATTTCGGTTTGAGAAATTATTCTGAGTTCCTACAGGAGCCCACAGAGCTCCTGCCTCTGTAAGGCAGGTGGGGAGAGGGGGTGCAGGCTTGCAGGGCAGCCAACACCTGCGGAGGAGCCGGTGCTTTCCAAAGTGCTATGGAGGTTGAGGTTGGAGTGGGCACTAGGCTGAAATTGGGGATGAGACTATGGTTAAACCTGTGCTGGGATTAGACGTAGGCTGGGTTGGTGCTAATGGTATGGTTTTGAGGCTCTGGTTAGAGTTGTGTCTGTGTCCAAATTGGGGCTCAGACTGAAGCTGATGTTGAGGCTGAAGTAGGGGTGGGACTAAGATTGAGACTGAGCCTATGTTGGGTTGGAATTCAGGTTGAGGTTAGAGCTAAAGCATTTAGGGTTTTAAGGTTGGGCCGCATTGGAGATGGATGAAGGGATTAAGGCTGCAGTTGGAGTATAAGTTAGGTCTGAGGCTGCAGGTTGACATTGGAATGGAGGCTGAGATCAGCACTGAGTTGAGACCTGAACATGAACCTCCAGAATCCTCCTGCCCTCCACAGGAAGCTCCAAATCCTCCCATCCCTCCACAGAAAGCTCCAGAACCCTCCCATCCCTCCACAGGAAGCTCCAAATCCTCCCATCCCTCCACAGGAAGCTCCAGACCCTCCCATCCCTCCACAGGAAGCTCCAAATCCTCCCATCCCTCCACAGAAAGCTCCAGACCCTCCCATCCCTCCACAGGAAGCTCCAAATCCTCCCATCCCTCCACAGGAAGCTCCAGAACCCTCCCATCCCTCCACAGAAAGCTCCAGAACCCTCCTGCCCTCCACAGGTAGCTCCAGACCCTCCCATCCCTCCACAGAAAACTCCAAATCCTCCCATCCCTCCACAGAAAGCTCCAAATCCTCCCATCCCTCCACAGGAAGCTCCAAATCCTCCCATCCCTCCACAGGAAGCTCCAAATCCTCCCATCCCTCCACAGGAAGCTCCAAATCCTCCCATCCCTCCACAGGAAGCTCCAAATCCTCCCATCCCTCCACAGAAAGCTCCAGACCCTCCCATCCCTCCACAGAAAGCTCCAGACCCTCCCATCCCTCCACAGAAAGCTCCAGACCCTCCCATCCCTCCACAGGAAGCTCCAGAACCCTCCCATCCCTCCACAGAAAGCTCCAGAACCCTCCTGCCCTCCACAGGAAGCTCCAAATCCTCCCATCCCTCCACAGAAAGCTCCAAATCCTCCCATCCCTCCACAGAAAGCTCCAGAACCCTCCTGCCCTCCACAGGAAGCTCCAAATCCTCCCATCCCTCCACAGGAAGCTCCAAATCTTCCCATCCCTCCACAGAAAGCTCCAGACCCTCCCATCCCTCCACAGAAAGCTCCAGAACCCTCCCATCCCTCCACAGGAAGCTCCAGAACCCTCCCATCCCTCCACAGGAAGCTCCAGACCCTCCCATCCCTCCCCAGGAAGCTCCAGACCCTCCCATCCCTCCACAGGAAGCTCCAAATCCTCCCATCCCTCCACAGAAAGCTCCAAATCCTCCCATCCCTCCACAGGAAGCTCCAAGTCCTCCCATCCCTCCACAGGAAGCTCCAGAACCCTCCCATCCCTCCACAGGAAGCTCCAGACCCTCCCATCCCTCCACAGGAAGCTCCAGAACCCTCTCATCCCTCCACAGAAGTTCCAGAATCCTGTCTTCCACAGGAAGTTCCAGAATCCTCCTGTCTTACACAAGAAGTTCCAGAATCCTCCTGCCCTCCACAGGAAACTCCAAAACCCTCTCATCCCTCCACAGAAAGTTCCAGAGCCCTCCCATCCCTCCACATGAAGCTCCAGAACCCTATCTTCCACAGAAAGTTCCAGAACCCTCCTGTCCTCCACAGGAAGCTTCAGAACACTCCCATCCCTTCACAGGAAGTTCCAGAACCCTCCCAGCCAGCTCAGACCTCCTTTGGGAGTCTAACCGACCTGCACAGTGGAAGTATGACATATTGACATCTCCTCTAACGCCTCCCTTTGGAGTGACTACATTCCTTTATTGTTTCATTCATCCAATCAATAAAAATAAAAATAAAATCAATCCATTTTGTGCTGAATGTTGTCTCAGATGTTGGAGACGTAATGGTAAGCCAAGGAGATGTGGCCACTACTCGCATGGAGCTTACATCTTAAAAGGGAAGAAAGATAATAACCCAACAATCAGAACTGGATACACCTCACAAGTGTGCCAAGGGCTGAAAAAGGAAGGTTCTGGAAGCCATGTGTGAGAAAGCACAGTCCTGGAAAGCTGCCGGATGTGATAAAAGCTCCCAATGGCATTCTAAGTTCATATAGGGGAAACGGAGGACAGAGGAATGGACTCCAGCTAGGAACCAAGGAATGCTTCACAGAAGAGGTGGCATTGTGCTAGGCAGTGAAGCTGGGAGGCAGTGGGCGCAGTGGATTTGGAGTCAGATGAACCTGAGCTCAAAGCCAAGCTATCCAGTTACAAACCAGCTAAGCTGTGTAGCCTTAGGCAAGTCACTTTCCCTCTCTGAGCCTCAGGCCCCTTCTTTAAGATGGAGACAGTAGTTTCTCCTTTGTGGAGCGCATGTGAGGATTTTAGATGTGTGTGAATTCCTGGCACCTGTGAGGTGCTCAGTGAATGGTAGCTCCGGGCCCTTTTCCGGGTCAAGGGGAATCGCAGGAGCTCCGTGCAAGCAGCCGGCACCCCAGAGGCGACCACTCAGGGTCCGGATCTTCAGGCTGGAGCTGTCACCCCGACAGGCCCAGGCGTGATTTCTCCCTGGAGTTCATGCTCCCTGGAGTGCAGGCGTGATTTACACAGTCATCGGGACAACTCCAAATTGGACTAAAACCTAGTGACTGGAAACGAGACGAGTAATGAAATTCTACGCGGGGAATTTACAGGGGAGATTTATTAGGTAGCTTTTATTTACGACGCCGAGCACTTAGGGCCCTGGGGTGGGGTGCGCGTTGGACAAATAAATCCAGTCCACATCACCTGCACGGGCGCCGTCGCCACTCAGCCGCCCGAGATGCCAGAGAGGTGGTGCCCCCTGCAGCATCCTCTGTGCTCGCTGAGCCCACAGCCCACGGACACTCCTCGGCACTCCTCCATCCTCCACCTCATCCCTGTGCTGCCCGCCTCTCCGGAGCCTGGGTCTCTCACTACCTCTGGGGAGTCAGCGGCATCCTTCCTGGGCAGGCTGTGCCTGAAGGCTGGACCTCAGGAGCGCCGAGGGGAGCGGCTGGACAGCCGGAGCCTCAGGGGGGGCCAGCCCAGGGGTTGGACTGGACGATGGAGGAAGTGAGATGCAGGGTGGTAGGCAGGCAGGGCAGCAGAAACCGAGAGCAGAAGTGCCCTGACGTCAAGACCCTCTTGTGGTCAGGTCAGGGAAGCAGCTGGTAGGAGGAGCCTGGAGGAGAAACCGAGGCAGTTCCACACTGCACCTGGGGCCAAGGACCCCGTCAAGAGCTGGGAGAGTGTTTTTAGCTACAGAAGTGGAGCCTTCTCTGCTCCCTCCGCTCACAGCTGTCCCTCCCCTGGGCAGAGGGAAAAGCTGCCGACCCTCATAACCTTCTCCGTGCCTCCTCCCCCACCAGCCCTTTCTTCTCCTCCACCTGCTAGTCTTGACTCCAATAACTTTTTTTTAAATCTATTTTCCCCTCCATTCACCCCACTCTGAGCGCACTGGGCTCCTTGTCATTGCTCCAACCTGCCCAGAAAGTTTCTGCCTCAGGACCTTTGCACTGCTTAGGAGCCTCTTCCCCCCAGTAAGCAGCACAGCTTATTCCCTCACTTCCCTGAATGTCACCTTCTCAGAGGCACCTGACAGGTTCCTTACCCAGCAAATTCCAACATCCCCCTGGGTGCTTCCTGTCCCCCTTCCCTGCCTTATTTTCTTTCTCCTCAGCGCAAACCACTAAAGGCTTTCTTTACATTTTGTTTATCTTGTGATTGTATGTCTCCTCCACTAGAACATAAGCTCCAAAAGGAGAAATGTTTGTTTTGCTTGCCACTGTCACCCACAGCTCCTAGCCACGCCCTGGCATAAGGGAAGCACCGATACAAACTTTGTGGGGACTGGGCTAGTCTCTAGCAGCCATGGAGCATGTGCATCTGAGCAGGTGCAATGGGCCAGGCCCCGTGCCGAAGGCTTCCGCGATCACCTCTGATCACCTCTGCGAGTGGCTCACTCAGCAAGCGCCCTGTGTGCTTGCTCCTGGGCCCGGCACAGGGGGCGCCAGGTGACTCAGACCCAGGCACTGCGCTCCGGGAGCTCCCAGTCTGGGGGCAGGAGAAACCCAGACCTGGAACAAGCAGTTTCATGTGTTCAATGCACAGCCCCTGGAAGATGACAGAGGAGGTCCGCCAGGAAGGCTGGACGCTGGGAGCCCCAGAAAGACTCCTGCAGGAGGCACCCCACAAGCAGCCTTAGCAGGTGTGCAGAGGTCCACGGAGCCAGGTGTAGGTCTCAGGCTCTGCCATTTACCAGCTGCGTGACCTCGGATGTTCCTCAACCTCTTGTGCCTCAGTTTCCTCATCTCTAAAATGGAAATAATATAGTCTACTCATTGGATGGCTATCAAGACGAAATGAATTTACAAAACTCTTCAAACAGACCAGAACGTAATTAATAAGCATACAATAAATGTTAGTCGTCATTATCGCTTTTATTATTGCTCATGGAAATTGATCGGCAGAGGGGAAGGGAAAAAATTTCAGGGGGACAGAATAAGTACAGGCATGTTCAAGGTCAGAGCAGAGCCTTTCACCGTGGAGCAGGCAGTGCTAGCAAGTGTAACAATGGGCTCTGTGGTAGGTGATCCCTGATTGTCAGAATTTGCCAATTTCTGTGAAAATTTTTTGGTACTCCCACCACGGCCTATTTCAAACTCCCACAGTGACACCGCTGAATAAGGAATTGGGAAGAGGTGCATAATTGGCTCCAAGGGGATGGCCCCAAACCACGCCAATCCCTGGCAGAGCTATCTCTGTCTGTACCCTGCCTCAAATTGGGCTCTAGAAGGGGAAAGATCAGGCATGAGGGAGGGGCATGGAGAGACCAGCTCAGAGGTGGCCAGAGGTCTGGACCTCAGAGATCCCTGCTCCACGGAATCTTGGAAGCCAAGCACTCACACACACACTCCCACACACACACACTCACACACATTTTCTCTCTCTCTCTCTCTCTCTCTCTCTCTCTCTCTCTCTCTCTCTCTCTCACACACACACACACACACACACACACAGACTCTCTCTCTCTCTCAAACACACACACACTCTCTCACACACACACACTCTTCACACACACTCTCTCTCTCACACACACACACACACACACAGTCTCACACACTCTCTCACACACACACACACACTCTCTCACACACACACTCTCTGTCTCTCTCTCTCTCTCTCTCTCTCACACACACACACACACTCTCACACACACACTCTCTCTCTCTCTCTCTCTCTCTCTCTCTCTCTCTCTCTCTCTCTCACACACACACACACACACACACACACACACCACACACATACACACACACACCTCAATCCACAGCCCTGAGGCCAGGCCTTCAGGAAATGGGGAGGCCAGAGGGATTTGAACCCTTGGTACCCTAGATGGAGAAGGAAGGGAGGGGTGCTTCCCAGAACCACACATTCCAGCCTCCCACACGAATTCCCTCCTGAGGGCCCTGGCCCCCTCCTGTGGGCTCTGATGAGGGAAGCTCCAGAAACCAACTTCAGAGACTTGGGGCTGGGCCAGCCCCCGCAGAGCTGCTTTGCTGAGGGGGGAGGGGCCCTCCAAGCTCCAGGGTTTGCCACCTTGCTCCCTCCCTCCCACCTGCCCTCCCCAGCAGGTTATCAGCGTGAAAACAGGAAGGCTGGCAGTGCTATTAATAATACATGAAGCCAGCTCTGCCCCTGATCTGGCGGGCAGGCAGAGGCGGGGAGGCAGCTCCAGGCCCCAGGGAGGGAGGGAGCCAGGCTGCTGGGGGCCTGCCTGGCTGAGCGGAGGGCAGGAGGGGGGGGGCTCTTTTCCTTCTCCCATTTGCTTTGTGTACATCCAACACGTAAGGCCAGACCCTGGTGCTCCCTCCATTTCTCTGGCTGCTGTTTCCCTCCTCAGGCACTGCCTGGTCCTGCGGAAGCCATAGCCACTGTAAAAATCTGGCCTTGGATGCAGGAGGCGGGGGGATTTGGGAGGACACAGAGGGCAGAGGAATAACCCAGGCTTTGGTGACCAACAGATCTGGGCCTGAATCCTGGCCCAGGACCACCTACTGTGTGACTTTGGATAAATCACTTTGCCTCTCTGAACCTGTGATTCTTCATTTGCAAAAACAGAGACTAGTAAGAGGATGATGCAGTTGGCAGCACAAAGAGGTTGCTGGTTCGCTGGTTCATTCCCAGTCACGGCACATGTGGCCTCCATCCCTGGTGCGGGTGTAGGG